ACTCATGATCTTTATTAATAGAGTAAAAGTTTAACTTGTTATATAATTAATATTAAGATATGAATTATATCGCTATAAATATTAACCTACCATCCATTAAATAAATATATTATCTAAAAAACCCTTAAACAGGGAAAACCTGAGGAACTATTTGTTATGAAAAATAAAAAATAAAAAAACATTTGGGACAAAATCGCCAGCATTGTAAAACATTTGAATGAGAAGAAAAAGAAAAAGAAAATTGAAACTTTTGTTAAATGTGATTCCTGAATGCAATTAGATGTTTCAGTCGGATGACGGCACCACACAAGCCACATGTAACTCAATGGATTTGATCGTGTGATATTTTGTGGTGTTGTTGCTGTTGTGGAAATTGGTGTGTTGTGGTGTAAATAATAGGATAACTGGAATGCGTTCCAGATATCTATTATGTTGTTTTGATGAGGTATTGTGTATTGTGATTACCAGAACCCATGCAGGGCACTGGTCACGCACTCTCCCAATCCGGTAAGTTGTTATATTGTTTTGGTATATGGAAGTGATACGAATTGTGATTGGTGTTTTATGTGTTGTAGATCATTTAATAGGGATAAGCTAGTTACGGTTTTTGTGTTGAAATTTGTAAACGAGGACTGGTAACTAGCCAGAAAACTATATGAAATCTAGTACTAGTTATCATCAGCAGAAAATAAAAAAAACTCTAAAAAAATAAAATGTTGCCTCTTGAGAATAGGATTGTTTTTGAGTTGAAGATGAGGAATGTAATTGTTTTATAGTGATTATGTTTAGAGATAGCCTTCACATAGAAAATTTTCTTTTTATTTGTCTTCTCTGTTCCAAGTTATTGCCCAGTACCATTACCAGTTACTAGACCTCTTAGAGCAGGCTCTATTGCTAGAAATCCCAGGGACCAATCTTATCCTTGAAACCCCTACTGCTCTAAATCAGTCCTCCAGTCTATGTCCTCTTCCAAAAAGACATATTCTGCTAGACAAAATTCCTTGGAAGAAAGAAGCTTCCTAAAAAGACAATTTTTTACGGATGGAGATGTTGTGGGAAAGAGTTTTTTTTTATTTATAACAAGTCTTATATCCATAAGAAATTATTGCTTGAAACAAGACTTATACCTTAGGAAATTATTGCTTAATGCCTTCTTGGGATAATCAACAATGAAGGAAGCTTGTTACTGGATTGGGATGAGACTTCTTTTGATCTTAAAGAGAAAAGAAACCAGTCCAAGAGAAGAGAGGGAGCACCATAGTGCATTTTGACAAAAAGGACACCTTGACACCTTGCTCTTTTCACTATAACTTATTGCATTGTCAGGTTTTATGTTGTATGAGATGGGGCATGTGGAGTTACGTGTCTTGTTTACATTTCTTGCTACGTGTAGATCAACCAGTCCAAAATTCAAGCCAATTACCATTCAAGGATTCTGGTGTAACCAAAAATTCAGGGTCAAGCTGAGGTAGGCAAAATCCCCAAAAAAACTAGAAAAAAAAGTTTACATGCTTGAAAAGATAGGAGAGGAGCTTGAAAAAGATAAGAGAAGAGTTTCAAAAACCTATGCCAGTCTTTTTTAGAGTTTTGAATCTCTGGAGAAAAAGAGGGGTGTACTTTTTCTACAGATTCTTTTTCCTAATAAAGTTTTCTTGCCTTTAACTTTATAGATAGAAGTTTCTTATATTTACTTGCAGAAATATAAGAAGTTTATATCAAAGAAAAAAAGAAACAAGTGTGGGAGGCTATGCTTCTTGATATGTGTATTATTAATAAAAGTGTATAGACTTTATTACAAAGAAATATAAAAATTTCCTTGGAATGTCTATTTTTGTGTTGGCAAGGGGATCAGTGGAAAGAGTTATCTTCATATATTCAAATATATTATATTTTTGTTTTTAATAATTATTATAATATCAATCAAACAATTATTGTATTATATTATTTTTTTTGAAAATTACAATTTTAATATTTATTGAATTAATATATAAATTAACTTTCCATAAAAAACAATACTTAACAAGTTATAATATTAGATATTATATTAATTTTGATTAATTAATTTTATTTAGAATTAAATTAATGTTTTGTAATTTGACTTGTAAAGTATTAATTACTATACTATAAATTTACAAGTCTATATTTTTATTTTATTTTTTTATTTTTTTATTTTTTTAACAACTGGCATATACCTTGTTTATTGAATATTGTTATAAGTACTTTTACATATTTTGCAATAATATCAAATTCTATTTATTTCTTAAACTACCTAAGATAGCAAGTTATTTATTAATTGATTTGTTGTTTTCCATGCCTTCTATATTATTAATATTAGAGCTCTAATAGTATAAGTAGAGAACTAATTTGTCAGAATATATGCCACTAAGTTCTTATTTGCTATCTAATAAACAAGAATTTAGAAAATCATCTGAACATGTTAGTTATAAACTAGTTATATTCCATTAGTTTTAACTAAATTTATTAAAATTAAAAAAGTAAAAATAGATATGTGTATGTATTTACATATGGATATCTATAATAATTTACAAAAAAACATTCTTAAAACCTGCAAGATATATTGATGAAATTACAAAAAAAAAAAAAACCACTTATTGTTCTAAAAAATCTATTTTATATACTATTATAATTTTTATATTAATTCGTAATCAGCCCATACTATTTATATCTTCTTGTTGATTTTTAAATAGTCTGAAAAATCTTCAACTAGAATTGATATTTGTTTTTTGTTTTGAGTGAAATACTACAATTGCTATCTATTATAATCACAAGATATTCAACTTCAAATTAAACAAAGAATTGAATATTGTATTACAAGTAAAGTTTATAAAGAAGAGTAAAAAATGGTGATTTCTATTTTTATTTGTAATTGTATATTTTATCATATCAATATTGTTATTATATTTTGTTAGCCTGTATTTTCTAACTATATAAGAAATATTATTTGACTTTTTGTTATTAAGGAGTCAATCCAAATTCCAATGATACTTTCAATTTGTCATTCAAGATAATTTGTTTAAGAATAAAAGAAGCTGTTTTCAGCTTTACAAATTCTTTATCAGCAAGAACTATATTTCTAGAAAAAGTATAGTATAATATTTCTAATTAATATATTTGTAAGTTTTTTAATAAAAGTTTTTTTTTTTCAAAAAAAAAGAAACTTTTTAAAAAGAAAATTTTTAAGAAATATGTAATGAATTGAAAAGAGTTTTTTTGTTTTATTTTATTTATTTATTTATATTAGAAAATTATTTATATAAAAATAATGTTTTTTTTTAAAAAAAATAATAAAAATATCTAGTTTTTCTTATATTTAATAAAGGTTTTTGTTATAAATGAGTAATTATTTTTGAAGGCAACAAAAATACTAAATATGATTTTTTCAGACTTAACTTTTAAACAATATATATATAATATAAATTTTAGAAAAATTTCCAATCTGTTTTTGAAAATAATTATCCAAATTATAAACAATACCTTGTTTATAACTTCTTTAACATAAAATATTATATAAATTAAACTTTAAGAAGTATCAATATAATGAAAAACAGAAAAAAAAATATAATCAACTTTAATAATATATAAACAAAAAAAATTAAAATAATAATATCAATATAATTAAGTTTTACTATTAATAATAATACTTTTATAAAAACTTTTACAAAAACTTTATAAAATAAGATTAAAAAGAGTATTAAATATTAGAAATATAAAGTAATTAAAATTTTGTCAAAATAAACTATAATTATAAATTTCAAGACATAAAAAAAAGAAAAAACAATATAATTTATTTTAAGATTGAAAATCAGTGATAAGTATTTAAGCAACTTAATTTATATATAAAAGCTTTGTATTATTATGTTTTCAATTTTAGCCTAATTAAGAATTTAAAAAAGAAAAACAATAAACAAAACAAAACATATATAAAAATTTTTTTCTTTTAAAACCATATAAAGATTTTTTAAAAATATATATTTAAAAACAAAGCTTAACTATGCATTTAAAAAAAGAAATATATATAATATATGCATTTAAAAATGCTTATATATTTAAAATATATTATATTAAACTCTTTTTTAAAATATCTATATTTTTATATTATTAAAAAAATTTTTTTGAACTTTACTAATATTTTAAATTCCAAATTCCAAATTCTTGAAATTGAATAATTATCAAATGTTCACTTTTCACTAAATTACCAAACCCTACAGAGCACTTCTCCTCCCGTTTTTAACAACATCGCATCCTTAATATCCAAAACACCTCTAGATGTACTAACAATCGCGATCTCTCCTGGTTGTAATGGGGGTATAAACTTGACTCTTTGACCAGTTGACCAATTTTGCAATTCGTTCACATTCATGTGAACCCTCTTGGATCCTTTGCTAACACAACTCATTTTCTTCAATACTGGTTCGTTTGCACGGTATTTCAAGTCTAACCACAGCCTTCTGGTGGAAATATTCTTAGGTGTGGTAGGCGTAAACTTCTCGTCGGGACACACGTGATTACCGCGTTGTACACCAGATATAAAACCTTGATGATAGAGAATTAATGAAATGGCAAGATTCATTTTTGAT